CTGTTATCAGTTCACGTGCTTGTTGTCGAGTGTTTTAAAATGGATCGAATATTATATGAACTTTTCACTTTTATTTTGCCCCAGTCCCAATTTTTTTTTTTTTTTGTGGTGCAGGCATATTCAAAAACTGTTTATTTTTGCCTAATACAATGAAGTTATCAGTTAAACAAAGGTTCAAGAGAATTAACAAATCACAGATTCTTGTTTTTATTGCATTTTATAAAATGGCCCAACTTTTCTGGAAATGGGGTTTGTATTTTAATTTTTTAATTGTTTATTTGCTTGTCTATTTTCAAGTGTGTCTTGAGACTTATGTAGCCTACATTAAATCAGCTGATAGTTTTACACTGATTTTATTTCATTTACCTCTGTTTCCTCCTTTCTGTGCTTGTCTTTTTCTCTCTCACTTCTCACTGATTATGGAAAAAACATACAATAATCACATTTATATCAATGTCATATGTTAACCTATAGTATGTGTTGAATATCTGTACATACCTGCAGTCTGGCACAGATACAGCGGACAGTAAAGTCTGATGACGTAGTCTCCTCACTGTTTTCACATTAAGTCCCAGTCCCACACCACTTAGCCCTTACCCCTTCCTACATGACCCTCCAAACGGAGGTTTTTCAGAGGCACATTCCAAACGGAGTGTTATGAGGAAAAAAAGAAAAACCGGCAAGATGTCTGCGCAAGTAAACAAAGAAACCGATTTTATTTTATTTATTTTCTGCGTTAAAAATTAGATAACCATTGTTTTAACGTTGTCGTTTCAATGTATTGTGGTCCTTTTCTTCATAACAATAATAAAAAATCGTTTGTAGTATTCTGATGTCTCGTAGCTAGCTAGGTAAAATTCAGGAAAATTCTAACAAGAAGCCAGTTCTTCTGTTCTTTGAAGGCATATGATTCCCTAAATTTAACTAAAGCCCAGCAGCGAGGTTGCTGAACTTTACCGCTCATCTGCTATTACTGCAGGGTCGCCTACAGAGCACCGCTATCAGCCTGTTAATGAAATAATGTTCTTTTTTGGGGGGTTGCCCCACTTCGTAGGGGAAGATTTCAACCACTATCCCTTGTAACTCGGTTCCAAGGTGCAAGGTGACACTCGAAAACAAGGGGTAGGGATAAAAATAAGAAACGGGACGGGCCTTTATCTCATACAACCCTTCAGAAACTACAGAGGTCTTGACCTCGGCGTGCTAGTGCTAGTTATACGGCCAGAGTTTGCGTTTACTTTAATCCGTGGCTGTATTCTGAATATAGTATTTTTTCAAACATGGACACGAGAACAAACTTCTGCTGTGAGGCAAAACGGTTTTTGCCACTGACTTCTACGTTCCGCATAAAGTACCTGTGGTGTCAGTTTTCCAGAAAGGAACGGTAAGTTCGTGATTATTAACTATTAAAATCTGTTGAAAGTATATTCACCTCATCATCGCTCATTGATATCTAAATCACGTCCGCTCACATATCACTGAATAAAAAAACTCACTAAATTTGTCTCAGCTTCAGGAACTACGCTGGCTGAAATTGTGCTACGATTCCACCAGCGACCACAAGACGGCACTGTGGTATTATCACCGCTCCATTCCTTTGGTTTCCACTTGAACTTGATTGTTCCCGTCAGCATTTTTTCCCTTTTGAGAAGAAAATCTTGCTGCAGTGTTTGTTTGACAGTTCAGATTTTTTTTTTACATGTGAACAAGGCTTCGGCTAGTGTGCTCTACGGGATATAAAATATTAACTTAAAAAAGGCTAATTTGGGTTTTCTCCAAAACGTGGTCTAGTTTAAAGAGGAGGAAAAGAACCGAGTAGTTATTTAATTCGGTGTAATTTTAAACTGTATAACTGTACTATTAGCAGACTTTGCAATTTGCCAGATGTAAATAAACAAAAAAAAGATAGATAGGCAGATAGATAGATAGATAGATAGATAGATAGATAGATAGACAGACAGACAGACAGACAGACAGATAGGCCACTTGACCACTCATGACTACTCAGAGTGAGCTCTTGTTTTCTGGTGATGGGGTTACAAAGCTTCGTCGTCCTGTGTCACCAGCACTAAGGCTCTTCTACTGAATGCTGAATAGTTTGTTATCACTAAAGCTTGACGTTTGAACACGTTATTCCACTCTTTGATAGAATATGTTTTTCATTATTATTATTTGTAATTATTCTTCTCATTGTATTGTTTTACTTCTCATTATGTTTATGAGGTAAATGTATCCGTATAATGTTCAATACGGCGCGTATTTCTACTGCCATCTGTTTTCTAAATCAAATTGAATTGAACGTTGTTAGATTATTCTTTATCCATTTCATTTGAAGCACCATTAAGAATCACACAAGCCTAAATAATATATTAAAATATTAATTCAGTCAGCAATCCGGGATGCTTCAAATTATTTGATGCGTCCAAGGGAAATTCGTGTGGTGAAGTGACGTTTTACCAACATATCTGTTTTTTATTTTGTAAAAGCCATCAGCTGAGAGAGAGAGAGAGAGAGGGAGAGAGAGAGAGAGAGAGAGAGAGAGAGAGAGAGAGAGAGAGAAGTAGCCACACAGCCGACCACAGTCTGACACATTCTGAGATTTTCATGAAGGCTAAAATTCAACCTAACAGATTCGCGTAATTCCTGCACCGTATTTCCATAATTAAACACTCTCACACACACGTTTGTATTAATATCTTTGTGGGTTAGGCTGTTTTCTTTGTGTATCTAAATAATGCTGTCTACACTAAACACGACCATGACCTGTACATCAATAACCAAAACAAATCTTTGGGCTTCATTTCTTGGTTGAAATAAATTCTGATTAGCTGAACCAGCTCCCCACAACATCTACGTGTTTACATGATGCTTCCGTATCATACTGGGGACGTTTGATCCCCATAATCAGCGAAATACATCGTCAGACACATAAGTACACACAGACTGAGAGACAGAGAGAGCAGTTCTACTGCTACTTCTTTTCTGAAGTAGAATCAGCTGGTGTATGTGTGTGTATGCCTGTGTATGTGCAGAACTGTAAAATGGCAAATTGGCGCTGGAGTTTCACAGATCAGTCTCCTGGTGGCCTCAGCAGAGAAGTAGCCAAACCACAAACCTTTGGGTCTGAAAAATCTCTCATATTTGCTCTTCAACCAAGATCTAATTCTAGGTATTTTCCGTTTGCTACATCATATATGCTCGTCTTATAACTTCAGTGATGGTGAATGTGTTAACCCTGAGGTCGTCGCGTTTAATTTCTTGTTTCTAATTAACATGGCGGCTAACGAAAGGTGAGCTTTTTAACCAACATTAGCCCGTAGCCTATTTATCACTCAGCAAAAATGAACTGTAATAGACAACTGTGACCAAAATGTAATTCTTTGTCATAAACTTTTTTTCTTGAAGCTGCATTTCACTTTTGTAAACCTTTATATATATTTTAAACTTTCAGTGTGGATAACTGGCAAATAAAATAGTCACTGTTTCCAGTGTTAGCTATACTGAGCTCTTCTTCGGCGATATAAGATGTGTTCGGCTCTTTTCATCGATTTATCCAATATTTTAAAACCAATTTATTATATAAAACCTCATTCGTCTATAACTTCAGTGTCTGTGTGGCGCTTTTAATTTGAAGTGTCCTAAAAGGAAATTCATTTTCATCAAACGGATGAGTTCATCACCTGTTTACATTTTGCTCTCCTTTCAGGTGAAATAATGTAAAGCGGTATTTCAGAAAAGTATAAATAAGTTTGGTTAAAATTATTTAGTCCCAGTGTGAGGAGAACAAAAGCTCTGTTAGTATCTAATAGAGCCAATGATGCTAGCAGGTTCATCATACTCTCTCCTCTAGCTCGACTGTAACTTCTCGCGGTTTTGCTCTCCAAACACGCCGTTTCGCTAAGTGGAGAAAACGAGCTGTGACACATACGTGTTATGCTTTCTTTCCCCATCCTTTTTCGCACCGCTTCTTCTGATTGGCTGGAAGTAGCCGGCCTCCTGCACATGATTGGCCTGTGGTCCATTAGGGTTGTGTTTTCTTTCGCCACCCGTTTTCGGTTCTACCCTGCACGACGATTGGCTGCTCGTTCTTACCGTAGGCGGACTGCTTGATAGTATGAACTACTATCCAATCATAGCGCAGGATGCCGGCTTATACTCGCCAATCCCAGCACACGAGGCGGGGCTTTGGCGGAATGCGGGTGGGAAAAGAAAACAAACACGCGGTGTCGGACTCCGTGGTTGAGTGCTCTGCTAATAGAAGTGAGGGGCTTGCCTGTGTTGTGGAGGGAGGGGGGCGTCTACTGCGCACACACGGTCCATCCCTCTTCCCTTTGGGGCTTAGTTTGCTTGTGTTTCGTTCCCACAGCAAGTCACATCGGATTCCTCTGGGAAAGAGCACAAATCAGTCCCGTTTGAACACGGGGAACAGCGCGGGATCCGCCGCCACGAGGGTCTTCACCTCTCCCTTTACCTGATTTCAGTACCGCTCATTCATTTTGATTTGATCAGAGCATAAGCAAAAAAGAAAGGAAAAAGCAAATAAAGGGGAAAAAGGAAGGCTGTGGATAATAACATTTGATCTAGCCCACCGCAAAGGCTGCTGTTGATCCCGTTGTTTCTTAAAGTGACATTAGACTTTTTATTTTTTTTTTCTGAGCTCTGTTTTCTAGACTGAAGGAGCCATCAGTGAAGATCTGACCGCATCGCTGCACGCGGCTCCCAAAACGTGGATGCTGACAGCTCGCGCTACCCCTCGCACGTTACTTCTTTCTTTTCTTTTTCTTTTCTTTTTTTCCTTTTTTAAATTTGCTGTTTCGGAGAGGAAGCGAGACAGCACGGAGAAGCTCGTAGACTCCACCTGCCATCCCGTAGACTTCTAGTCTCGTCTTTTACGGAGCGATCACAAGAAAGAGAGAAGGGGAGTGGGGGAACGGAGCTGGAAGAAGAAGAGGAAGAAGAAGAAAAAGAAGAAGAAGTGACGGGGAGAAAAGTCCGCGTTCATGTTCGGGATTCAGGAGAGCATTCAGAGGAGCGGGAGCAGCATGAAGGAGGAGCCGATGGGCGGCGGCATGAACGCGGTCAGGACGTGGATGCAGGGCGCCGGAGTGCTGGACGCAGCCACAGCCGCTCAGAGGTGAGGAGGACCGGCATCAGCCTGCCCATCACAGCGCCTCTCACTATCCAGACACCAGCCACATCCTCACACTCAGCAGATAAAAACAGTCGGCTAGCTGGTTTAGTCTTAACTGAGTTCCTCCTTATTTTAGATCGAAGTTTTAATGTAGACTAAGAGCGCTGGAGTTTTGAACTGAAAGCTTTCAGGCTATAAAAATTAAATAAGTCACGCTAGCACTGTTTTATTAACTAGAAAAAGGACAAATAGCATTTCAGCAGACATTAAAAATACAAAGAAAATGTGCAGATTTAGAAGATCTTTCGATTTGAGTGTTCTTTAAATACAGAGTTCGTGTGATGTACATTAAATCAATCAATCAGACTCTGACTTGATACTTGATTTATAGAGTAAATAAAATTATATTGCATAAACAGTTTTATATATGTAATTATTACTGTTTTATATATATGTAATTATTTATGAATACATGAACTTAAATAATATATTTAAAATATTTTATTATTTTAAAATAAGTAGTTTACTGTATACAGACTTTTCATTTTTTGCAAACCTAAACTTGTTATTACAGAAATTTTTAACAGATTGAAAATTTAAAAATAAAATTTACACAAGCCAAATTCCAAATTCAGATAAATGCAAAGAGGGAAAACTGCTGATTCTGACTTTTTGTAAAAGTGTGAAATAGAGCATGTAAATCAGCATGATCCTCCAGTGTCCTGCAGTGTTAATGAGTGTTTGTGTGTGTGTATGTGTGTTTGTGTGTGTGTGGCCGCAGTGGAGTGGGTCTGGCCCGGGCTCACTTTGAGAAGCAACCGCCCTCCAACCTGCGCAAATCCAACTTCTTCCACTTCGTGCTGGCTCTGTACGACAGACAGGGGCAGCCTGTGGAGATCGAGAGGACCTCGTTCGTGGGATTTGTGGAGAAAGAAAAGGCAAGTGGCGCTTCAGCCGAGTGTCACCAGCTGCCCCCTGAAGGCCCGGCTGCTTTTTACCAAGAGTTTTCCCCTCATCAATTATGACTTAAACATTTCACTTACTTCCGTTAATTTCATTGAAAATATTAAAATTGTTAAAACAGTTCAAACTAAAATATGATATAAAAGCCCAGGAGCAGCGCTGAGTCTCAGTCTGATCCCTCATTGCTGGGGGTTTGCTGTCAGAGCTGTAATCTGACTCTGTTGGCTGTATGAATGATTCAGTAGGCGAGTGCGGGGCAGTTTTTTAAATGTATGAACGCTGTTTCAGCTGCTCTCCAAACACGGTCCCGCTCTTCTCTGGATGTCAGAGCAGCTCGTGTCCCGGAGCGGACTGAGAGTAGAACCCACATCACCTCCTCATCATCTTCTCTTTCCTTCTCTTCCTCTCGTTTCCCCGCAGATTCCCGCCGCTCTCTCTGACTAACCTCAGTGTTAGATGGTCTCTGAACTGTCATGTAAAGGCCTGAAAGTCACTAGTTCACAATGAGCGCCGTCAGAAACAGAAGCGCTCGGTCAGTAGACAGTAGTTTCAGTAAACTGTGTTCTGCATGTCTCTGTTGTTCAGGTTTATCAAACTCACACAAACTCAGCAGTAATTCGGACTAAACTGTTAAACGGACTTGTCTGAAATCAGCCGAGTTGTCTCGCTTTTCTCTGTCCACATGGGAGCTGCAGCAGCGGAACATAATGTGGACATTTATTTATTTTTTGTAGGAACCGACCGGAGAAAAGACAAACAACGGAATCCATTACAAACTACAGCTTCTCTACAGCAACGGTAAGACCGAGTAATAGTGCTTTAAATTATATTATCTATCTATCTATCTATCTACGCACACACACACCCACACACACCCATATATATATATATATATATATATATATATATATATATATATATATATATATATACACACACACACACACACACACACACACACACACACACACACACACACACACCAGCAGCAGACGGGAGGCAGAAATTAGAAATTAAAATATATCACACTGTGGAGTTTAAATTGTGCGGTTGTTTTGTAGGGTTATAATCAGTTCTAAACAAATGTGTAAATTTGTAATCTTAATGTGTAACTATTATTAGCATTATTATTATTATTATTATTATTATTATTATTATTATTATTATTATTATTATTATTGTTGTTGTTGCTGTTGTTGATGCCGCTATTATGATCACAATTATTAACAGTATAGCAATATTATTATTATTATTATTATTATTATTATTATTATGATTATTATTATTATTATTATTATTATTATTCACTGTAGACTGTTAGCTTAACCGATGAACTCTTAAACTCTCAAATAAGCGCCCAAAAGAGCTGCAGCGTCTTGCGCTGTTAAAAATTTATATTGTTAATATAACGCTTCAGTCGCATTTAGCGAATAAAAGCGTATGTAAAAGCGTTATCAGCTCTATTTCCCACATAGAGCTGTTCTGTAAAATCCTATGAGGAGTTTGAGCTGAGAGCTGCTGCTGAAGTTTCCCTGCGCCGCTCTTTCTCTGTCACACTGAAGCTATTTCAATATTTAAAGCGTCTCTGTTTCCTGTTTATGATCCTGAATTAGTTTATTTAGATCAGTCATCCGTTGAGCCCTGCGCTCCGCTGACCCCGCTTACTGATTTTAAACACAGTTTTTACTCTTTTGTTCTGTTTTGGTTTTGGTTCTTACTCTTAAGCTACATTACAGTTAGTTTTATATTTGAAAACAAAGAAAGTGAAAGAGACTCAGAACAGCAGAGCCGCTGTGACCCATGCAGTTTACTGACTTAGTGATCCAGTATCCACAGCATGTATAAAAGCCTTTGAGTGTCCGGGTTATTCTGTGTTTGTGTGTTTTGTTAGTTTGTTTTTTTTTTCTCATCTACCTTTTCTCCTGAACTTGAGTCAGTTATTGTAACATTATTTTATGAACTGGCATTATGGAGTCCAGTAAGTTTAGGGAGGAGAACACATTAAAAATGCAATAAAATTACATGTGGTTTAACTCTGTGTTTGATTTTACTCACCAGACCTCATCACTTTTCTTTACTGCAGGTATCAGGACAGAGCAAGACTTTTACGTACGGTTGATCGACTCCATGACCAAACAGGTAAGGCTTTATATATCTTTGAAAAATGACTGCCAGATTGACTGCTGGAAATAGATGAAGTAGCAGGAAATATCAGCCGTGTGTGTGTGTGTGTGTGTGTGTGGTGTGATATGTATGCTATCTTGCACCCTAGCGAGTTTGGGGCTGTGCTGTATAGTGTGCCTTAGGGGCACGGGGAACTAATAGTGTCTAAATATGACATCCTCTCTCTGGGAAAGCATTTAAGATGACTGATGTTTAAATGTGTGCGCGCATGTGTATATGCACTTCTGACATTCACTTACTGAAACACTAGTGTTAGAGGTATAGTGTGTGTGTGTGTGCAGGATGTTTGTGTATCTGTTAGTGTGTGCATAAATGTGTTTATTCATGATTAGCAGTTGCATTGTCACTTTTAATATGGATTCTCAAAGCTTTCTGTATTCTTTGCTGTGGAGTGCACTCAGGATCTCAGGGTCTCAGGGGCCAGTGAAGGCAGCCTTTCAATTGCACAAGCTTCATTCCCCCTATCAGCGATATCTCAAAAGTGTGTGTTCTGCTGGAAACCAGAGCAGCCGGGCAAAGCGAGGCCCTAAACCGCTAACAGCTGAGTGTGCTTTAGGACGGCCCATGTTTCACAACATATTTAGGCAAGAGGATTTCTCTGTTATTTTTCCATCCGATCGCTGTGGGACTCTGTGTGATAGGTTTGTCTTCCGTTCCTGTTGGCCTGCATGCTGCGGTTTTTCCAGAATCTGAAAAGCCAGCTGGGTTTGGAGGCTCAAATGTATAAAAGTGAATTATTAGAACCTCGCTGCTTACATTGTGCCACTTACATTAACAGGAGAAAAATGATAATAAGGAATCTGCTGTGATGCATGAAAAAGAAAAGATGTTAAAATCCTTTAGACCCTAAGGGCCTGTATGTAGGCCTGCAGTTCAGTATAACTGTATAATTTACAAAATATTGTCACAGTAGTAGCTGAATAATTCATAGAAGATACTGGATAACGAGTCTTAAGATTAAGAACTAAATCTAGGGTTGAAGAGGTTACGTCACTGCTTCTCAAGATACGATAGATATTTCTGTAGATCTGCCTCTCTTATACACTCTTATAAATAATAATAATAATACTTGTTTCTAATTTATATAACACTTTTCATTTTAGTTGCAACATTTCTTAGTGCATTACACATTAACATTGGAGAAATAAAAACGTTATCCTCTACATGAAAATAACAGTGCATTTACCAAGATGAGAAAAAGAACCACATTACTTTCAGGCATATGGTAGCCTAAGCAAATATGCATTAGATCTGCGTTTAAAAACACCTATGGAGCTTGCATTCCTAATATTCTTCAGAATGCTATTCTGCCTCAACTACAGTGGTCTGGATGGTCTATAATGCTGCAACAGATCAGTAAGATATGCTGGAGTTGAACCATTATGAGCTGTAAATGTCATAAGCAAGACCTTGTTGTCAATACGGAACTTAACAGGAAGCTGGTGTAAACTGAAGAAGACTGGAGTAATATGCTCAAATATTTGAGCAACTTTTTTTTTCTTATTACACACACGGACTGCTGCATTCTGAACTAGCGACTCATTACGAAAGCATGAACTAATTTAAGTAATAATTAACATCTTGTAGGGTGAGCATATGTCTTATTTTGGACATGTTTCTCAAGTAATAATCCTTGGAGGGACACAAATAATAAACATCCAGTGTTACATCAAAGTCTTTAACTGTAGTTTTTGGTTGCATTGAGAAACTATAAGGGTCAAGGATAAAATCTGCACCCTTATTTCAGACTTAGGACCAACAGCAGTGCTTCTGTTTTATCTGAGTTTAGCAGGAGAAAGTTAGTAGTCATCCAGGCTTTTATATCGGAGATATATTTAGATCAGAGGTTTCTTAATGGTTCTTAGCTTGAATGTGTGGTTCTACAAAAAACCCTTAACTGGTAAAGAATCCTCACATTATGTGGAGATTTTATAATCTTTAAAATGAGTTTCTGTATCTCATTGCAAAAACGATTCCTTAAAGAACCACCCATTGAAAGGTTCTCCAGGGAACCAAAAGTCTTTCTTCTATGGCGTCGCTCCCAGTGTAGGTGGTGTGTCAAGGCTAGAGGTGCAGGTGAAGTCTGTGAAGGTGTCAGGTAATTAGCAGGTGTTAGTGTACAATGTCATAGCCCCATGGAGCTCTCAAGCAACAGTCTGAACATTGAGCAAATCCTGAGTCATCAATATGCCAGCAACTGTATATGTGTATGTGTAAGTCCTACAGTTCTTTGTCATTTAATCTTTTTTTGCTCTCAAAATCTATGTTTATATTTCTTTATCACATCATTCCTGATTGCAACTAAATCATTACATGCACATGTTACTTAGTTGCACTAATTTATGCTCGTAAGCCATAACAGAAGTTTTCCATACTATGCTACAGCAAGTCTTAATAGAAGGTTTGGTAATGTTGTCATTCAGCTATGTTGAGGTGGTGGGCTCAAATCGACAGAATTCCTTAGTTGTGCTAAGTGTGTGTACAGTGTTTGGAGGTGTGTGTGTGTGTGATATTCTATGAAGCTGATAATGCTGGTGATGGCTGTCACTGTGCAGGGCTATTGGGCTGTGTGTGAGGGAGGCAGATTTATGCATGTGGGTGAAAGGCAGGGGCGTGACGCCGGAGGAGTAAATACGGTGGCTGGAGGACAGGCCCACTGCACACTTTTTCAAAGCACCACCTCAATAAAAAGCCGTTTATCTCGCCGCCTCTGTCCCCCCTACGAGCGCATATTTCACCTTTTGATTTACAGACTATTTCTGTGGACGCAGCAAAGGGAGCTGCAATACCTGTTAATGATGTCGCAGGCAGTGAAAGAGAGAGAGAGCGAGAGAGAGTAGTTTGGCATCTGAGTGGACACGCTGGCATAATATAGCACTACTCTGCACTCCCTGAGTTGTGGTGGCTCATGTCCCTCGGGCCCCATTCGCAACAAAGAGCCTTTCACTACATTTCCCAGCATACCTTTCTTTGAGCTGAACCTCATCAACTCTGTGGTTTCACATACAATTGCATTTAATTTCTATCTATTGTAAAGACAAGCTGGTACTTGCAAAAATGTTTTTTTTTTTTTGTTTGCCTTATTCTGTTGTATTGACACTGGCAGTTTAGACTAAAGAGCGAGCATAAGTCTGTGTTTAACTGCAAGGACCTGTATGTGGGCATACAGTTCAATTTCTCCCTCTTATACTTACATAACTTATATATTAGTTGTAGAATAGTTACTGAATAATTTATAGTAGTTACTGAATGGTAAGACTTAATATTAATGCCTGTATAATATGCCATGTACCACTATGAAGTAATTTGGTCAGATAGGTACTGGTCATAGCAACAGTTGGTGTCTACTAATTCATAATGTTACTAAATAATAAACATTAAGATTACAACCTGAATAATGTATCTAAAGAGTTAAATCCTAAGCCAGGATTAATTAATGTGGTCATATAGGTAATGGTCAATGCACTACTTAGGACCAAAAACTCATAAAAGTTACTCAATAATAAAGATTGTGTTAATATTAAAATCTGAATAATATGCCTAATATTATTATAATATGAGTTCAAAGTGTTAATATGACTAGAATTTAAAATATGCCTAGAGTTTAAACCAGTATGAATGTGGTCATAGAGACTGGTCAATTCACCACTTGATACCAAATATTTCATTGACGTTACTTAATAATAAGTAAAACCTAGTAAAACCTAAATATACTTAGAGATTACGAAGTTAAAACCCAAACCAGTATAAATTGGTCACACAGAGTGCAACTCTTGATACCATGTATTTCATAAAATAACTTACAATTAACTTTACCCAGTATGAATTCATGTAATCATACAGATACTGGTCAATGGACCATGCGGTACCAAATAATTCCTAAAACTGGATAATGTGTTATGCAGTTTAAGGTAACCCTTAACCAGTATGAATGCATGTGTTAATAAAAATATTGATCAGTGCATAGCTTACCAAAGAATGTATATTTGTTAATAAATAATAAGTTGAGCTTAGTGACTAAGTAATTAAGCCCAAGGTTTAGGGGGTTAAGCTCATTTTGCACAGCTCTATCCAGACCGCACTGTGGTAAGAAACCCAGACTGAGGAGCACTCACAACGTGTTTAAGATTTCCCATTAAAAGGCCATAACTTGGTACAGAAGGGCTACAGAAGCAGCCCTGGCAGGCTGGCTTTGGCCCAGCGGTGCGCCACTGTTACAGAGCAGGTTTATGGAGTTGTTCGACACACACTTCTCATTAGCACTGGGGGAGTCTGCACTGAGAACTCACTTACTGGCAACGTGGAGAGTGTGTGTGGACCGCATGTGGGAGTTGGGCAACAGCCTGTGTGGGAAAAAAAGTGATATGACAGAGGAAGTGAAAAGGGGGAAATGATGATAGAATGTAAATTAAGCATAGGATAGTTCACTAAGCAAAGTAATGCACTCAGTTTATTTAATTCAAATGTGTATTTTATTCCCACTTGAAAAAAATACATTGCTCTGACTTTATTTCTCAGTGTCTCTTAGCTTCTGTCTACTTGCATGTTAAATATGTTTACTAACTTCTAGTAGTAATTGTGAGGTCATTACAGTACTGGGCAAACGTCAGAGACCACCTTTCATTTATTTAATTTCCAGCCAAAACAGCCTTAGAAAACAAGGTATTCATTTTTAAGAGCTATGTCTGAGGAGATTAGATATGATAATCCACTTGCCTAAGGAAAACAAATGAAACAGATAAACAGTACTTTTATCTTTGAGACACAGCAGAAAATCAAGCCCCACGCTACAAGTGTTTCTGTTCATCCTTGTACTGTGAGAAGACAACTCCACACTGTGGGTCTGAAAAGATGTGTAACTGTCAAGAAGCTGCTACAGAAAAATGGAAACAGATAGGAAATTAGAATATTTTCAGAATCAAACAAAGAAGCTGCTAGTGTTCAGCCCAGACCTA